CCCCCCACCCCAAACCTAAAAAACATTTCAAGGAAATTGCTTGAGAAGTGATAGGAGCCCATGATGTCTTGCAGTCCAGCTAGAATCCCATCTGAGGATAATGACCTTTTTGTATCTTTGAGCAGCAGACTTACCCTGAATATGTGTTTTCACTCGGCTTACAGTACTCTGAACATTGTATATGGAATTTGAGGGATCCAGTCGAAGCTGTGATACGGACCAATATCTCTTAGCATGGCACATTCGGAAAGGAGTTAGTGTGCAAAAGCATATCCTCTGCTTACAGATACGACATCATTTTATAGCCCTTTGCGGACATTGGCTGTTTCCAATATTTAACATCCTTTGAAGTTTACTGAAGGCATTACGGTACCTTTTGAGTACCTATAGGACCGACAACCCCTTTGATTGAACCACCTAGCACGTCCTTAATAATGCAGTTTAGAGAGATAGACAGATTTGACCGTCATACAACCCAAAGAACTGAAATTGGACGATGAATCATGAGAGCCAAATCCATTTCTCGTCGATACAGACCAGTCGTCATCGAATCAATCCCTTTCGAAGATTTGCCAGTACGATAGTAACGGGAAAAACATTCCCCAATGCCTAATTGGGCAGATCGTCAAGTTCCCATCGAATAGCTCCCCGTTGGAGATGTTTCTTTCGGTATGTTTGCTCGCTCGATGGTCGTCGTGGGTTGTCGGGGTAGTCGGAACGATGTTTGGGCATCGATTGATAGTTATCTCTGGGTGCAGTGCTGTCCCAACTCGGTTCTTCACCTGGCTCATGCATAACTTCCATGGAAATTTCTATTTGAATTTCCCGCTCCTATCGATTTTTCTTTCTATTTCTCCGCAGCGCATTGTTACTGTAGGTCAAAGCTTTCAGTCATTTTCGTTTCACCGCGCCTTTCATACAATGTCGATGATTTCTCCGTCTTTAGTGAGTTCATTTGAATTCGCTTTATTCTTAGCATAGAATAACTGATAAAGAACTGATAACCCAGAAATATTCCTTGAAATTGCCATCATCATTGCTTTAATCAGCTAATATCAGTGGTGAATTAAATTGGTAGGTAAGTTGTTTTCTAATGGGGTGCTTAGGTATTTGTTTACTTTGCGCTTTTACTTATCAAGTTTTCAAACAGAAGACTATCTTACTAGTAAATATCTCTTGCATGAGGCTTTTTAACTGTAACTGCTTGTTCCGAACAGTGGCCCGACTAATCTGGTTGTGAGAAAGCTCATAAAAGCCATGAAATATGATGAAGTTTGTTTAAATGATTCATAATTCTTTGTTATTACTATATTTACTGAACTGAAAACCCAAAAATTGTTCTTTCTGTTAAAGAGAATGTTTTGAGGAATATTGACAGTCTTGTGAAAGCGAAATCATCGAAGTTTACACTGATTGTATTTTAATTTCACACTTACTGCCTATACACATGTAACGCTTGACGATCAACAGAAAAGGACGTATCAAACCTTATCTGGGAGCGAATCGCCCTGATAAGGGGTGAATAGTCATACGGCCATCAGACCATACTCATTAATCGCACCAATTAACGGTCAAGGTCCTTTTCGACTTATTTTTTATTATTATTTAGACGAGGATTTTAATAATTTCATGTGTCATCGATAGTGGAAAAAAAACTGGACGAAAAGCGGGTCCACTAAAGGTGGATCGATAAGATCCCACGATAGGAATTGAAGGAGGATGAGGGACATAACGAATACGAGAAAATTCGTACTTACCGGCAACCCAGTAGTAGCAAATAACTTGGTTGGTTGAAATTTCGTTCCCATTATCCTGGAATATAACAAGTCCCACTGATTTTCCCCCTTTTTTCCGTGAAACGGTTGAGGTCCAAGGAAGTCTAGGTCAGACTCAAATGTAACCATTAATCTCAATAAATATTAGATAATTCGGCATGTGAATTGATGTGCTCCAAACGCAACGTGCCAATTAGCATTAGCGCGTGGAAACCAAACATTGCAGTCCTTTATAATTGGCGTCCAAATTTTTTTTCCCTCATAAAAAGATGGCTTCAAAATTTGCTGCTTTTTTGCTTCACAGTGCAGTTACGAANCTCTAACAGTTTTTTGTGGTTTTCTTCATACTGACATGTTATTCAAACATTGCATTTAACAAAATCAGACGCATCGTCATTAATTTTGCTTCCAGAACCCCTTCATACATTTGTTCTTGACAAGCTTCTCCGTATCAGTTTCTGTTCAACTACATTCAATCACGTATTTTTCAGAAGCTGGATCCAGAGGAAATCTTCACCAAACACGAGCGCATTGGGCGCGGATCGTTCGGTGAAGTCTATAAAGGCATCGATCGACGAACATCTCAGGTTAGTAGTTGTAATGATCTTCGCTTGTTTATTCACCATAGACAGCGTTGCTAACTATTTTGACACGTTGCTCTACCAAACCTACTCGCGCCATTAATGTTTTTTTGCCAAGTTCGCCCTGAAACAGTTTTTGACCATGCGTACAGTAATGCATTTCTGTTTTATTTGTTTTTACCGTTTCTTTAGCTCAATTAAAGAGTTATCATAGAAGGAAAATCACGGCGTAGAATTTGGGCTAATTTTCATTTTCTCTTGGCCCCCTTAAACTAGCCAAAAAATCGTTTTAGCCCATTTACGAGCTGAAAAATTCTTTTCGAACAGTTGACTATATGCAAATTTCTTACAACATTTTTAGTAAGGGCTGATGTCAACCACAGACTGGTGGTCACAGATTTTTAGACACTGATTCTAAATCTGATATTTATATAATATTGAACGAAGGTGCCCTTAATTTCAATTCGAGAACTCTGTGCAATAGCCTCTTCCCTCTTAGTTATCGTCTTCGTTCGCAGAATATCTATATTCCTCAAGCGAAGAACTGGTATTAGGTGCTTTCAGGTAGTTGCCATCAAGATCATCGATCTGGAACAGGCTGAAGATGAAATAGAAGACATCCAGCAAGAAATCCAAGTACGAGTCTTCAAACGTATTCTCTTTCACTTACCACTCCTTTCTGTAATTCCGATTTGATTCTTCTTCTGCAATCTGTTTAAAGGTGCTCAGTCAATGCGATTCGCCATATGTGACAAAGTATTACGGAAGCTACCTGAAGGTTTGTTCGGTTTTATCGCTTTCGCTTGTTTTGACTGACTTTTATCAGCTCCGTGTTCATTTAAAGCTTTATGTCGTGAAGGATCGTATCTATGCAGGTTCTGATTGTTGCACTTCTTTTGTACGGCTGCAATTAAGAACGCCCTAGATTTGCACATTCTTTTTGCTGTCGTCTAATTCTCAAAAATCTCGTTTGCTATAACTATGATATCAATTTGCAGGGATCGAAACTATGGATAATCATGGAATATCTGGGTGGTGGCTCTGCCTTGGATCTTACGAAAAGTGGTCGATTGGATGAGAATCACATTGCTGTTATTCTTCGGGAGATACTGAAAGGCCTAGACTATCTTCACAGCGAACGAAAGATACATCGTGATATCAAAGGTGAGCTTTTCAAAATTTCAGCTTTTACTTTGTGGAACTCCCGATCCTTTATTTTTAGTCCTAGTACAACCTTTGAATTTGGTGTCATTTACTTACTGTTTCTTCATCTTCGAATGGATCTCTTTACTCATTTTATCAATGCTAGCTTTTCTCCTCAGTTCGGACGCCGACAGATTGAATNTGGAGCAGTAATCAATGGTTTATTGACATTTCGCGCTGTGATGAAGCCTTTGTTGTGCGCACTTTAGGCGCTAATGTTTTATTGGATGATGCTACCGGTGATGTGAAATTGGGTGATTTTGGTGTTGCACGTTCTCTGTCGAGTGTAACCGGTCTGAAAGCAAACACTTTTGTCGGTACACCATTCTTTATGGCACCGGAAGTTATTCAGAATGGTCGTTACGATGCGAAGGTGAAGCGAATTTCTAATCGATTCTCAACCGCTCTTTGCATTCTACTGCTGTTCCATACCCGTGTTGTGCTGTACGCGTTGTGCGACCGATGGCTTGGAGTGTTTAATTGTCAAACGCTGCACTTTGCAATTCCTAACTCTTTCGCCATGTTAAAACGGATCCCATTATTTTTTATTGTGAGGTGGTGAAATTGCTTAAATTTTCGCTTTTGCTTGGGATGATGTGCTCAATATGAGATTTAACCAGAGGTGCGTATATTGTTATGAACGCACAAGCTGGCTATCGTTGGGTCATTCGTTTTGCTCTTTTGCAACGTTTACATGGCTTGCTCTGGAATCTTTCCGGCCGTTCTGCAGTTCCTAGTACAGTGATCAAGATTTCCAGGAGGAATATTCTTTGTTGTTGAAATGTTTAGTTGAACGCGCCCTGGCTCTTAGTGGGTTACATGGAACGCAATTAATCATGTTATTATGCCTACATATAGTAAGATCTGGTAAATTAGTAACAGTGTGGCTGTCCGCTCTTACCACTGCTTTAGGTTTTCCTTCGGAAATAGAGTGGGTTGCTATTAGAAGGTCATCGTACAGAAATCGTATCGTATCTCGCGGTCGTTGTCCAGTGAGCACAATCGCTCCCTCCCTTTTCTAGCCGCCAATGTGTTGGTCAGCGAACAAGGAGATGTGAAAGTGGCAGACTTCGGTGTTGCCGGGCAGCTGACGGAGACGGTTAAGAAGCGGATCACTTTTGTTGGATCTCCGTTCTGGATGGCACCTGAGCTGATCAAGCAAGCTAGTTATGATTACAAGGTGCGTATCTATCGCTTTGTCGATGTTTTTATATACCTGTGCTTTTTTCGGCTTCTCTTTTCCTCTGTTGCATTCCCTTTTCGTTATGTGGAGAGGACTCTCGCTTTCCCAATTTGTTCTTGTTGGGGTGGAATGAGATAAATCTCGAGGGAACATTTGTAATTCGAGTAGTTCCACTTCCGAAGTTCCTCATTCCACGTCAGTTAATTGATGAAGGAGAGTTTTTCGCGTTCTCGTTATGATTGCAACATTTCTACAGGCTGATATATGGTCACTTGGAATCACTGCTATTGAGTTGGCTCAAGGTGAGCCGCCTCATTCGGACTTGCATCCGATGCGTGTACTATTTCTGATCCCCAAAAACCCACCGCCACAACTAACTGGGCCACAGTGGTCGCGCACGTTCAAGGATTTCGTAGAGCTCTGTCTGAACAAAGATCCTGATAATGTGAGTTTTGCAAGTTTTTTCGCTGCTAACCTGATTGGGCAAGGAGTGGGCTCACCTGAGCGCTCTTCCACTGCATTGTAACATTTAGAATCCCTCAGTATGACCCTTTCAGTGGTGATTTTCCAGCCCATGTTTGAATTTTACTTAATTTTGCTTTCGCAAACCTCAGTTTTACGTCATCTTGTGACGGTATCCCGATTTGAAAGGGAAGCACAGATCTTGTGAGCTCTGCTCTTCTTATGTGCTCGATTTCAGCGCCCGTCGGCAAGCAGTTTACTGAAACATCCCTTCATTAAGAAAGCGAAAAAGAATGGCATACTGGTTGAGCTTATCGAACGAGCTCGAGAATATCGGTAAGCTAGAAGTTCGCTCTAGCATGGAATGCGTTCGAAGCTGTCGTATTTTCAGGTCCAGAACTGGTGTTTCTTCGGACAGCGATCTGGACGAAGATTCGGATGGCGGCGGAGGCTCAAATAGTTGGGATTATCCGACAGTGCGGGGCGCCACGAACGATCGAACTGAAGTTAGACGTGATGATCGAGATGAGACGGTGAGGCAACGCGACCGACCAGTTCGTCCCGGCATAGGCATGGAACGGACGCAGGTCTCGGTGAACAACGATGATGATCACAGTCCAGGTGGCACAATTGTCAGGGTAAGTAGATTAATTCGTTGGATTTGGTATACAGGCAGTTGCATAATGGGAGAACGTAGAAATTTTTAGTCAAATGCAACGGTGTTAGCTGTGGCGGATCAACTGAGAGCTAGTTCTTTAAATTCGTCCACAAACGGCGCTAACGGTGGAAGCGCCAGTCGAGTACCAGCCACATATGCGCCCACAACGATCACGGTTGCTAGTCCCCCATCAAGTCCGGTTAGTACTTTTGTGTAGAAACAATAATAAATTGGAATAACGTTTGGAGCTGTGGAACTGGCTTTCTAGAACTTCTCCCATCGGCCGGCACAACACACTCATTCCCCTTCATCCTCATCTTCACGCGCCCAGGATCGGCCGCGGGCACCATCGACGAATACACGAAACCATCACGCATCCTCATTCCCTATGGAGAATGGTGGACGTGAATATGGTGGAAGTGGAGGCAGGAGTAATCGGCTTGAGGTAAGACACTTTTCTCGATAACTCTGTTCGATTGCTTCTTGTTTAAGTGAAGTCCTGAAGTGGCTTTTAATAAAAGCCTTTGCGGTTAAATAGCATTAGGAATTTAATTTGTTTCAGACTGAGCGTGACCGTCAAACGGGCTCAGGAGGTCGAAATGGCTTTCCAAGTTCCGTTCATGTCCCTGCACATCATGAAAGAGCCCCTTCACCTCGCCGAAGAATGCCAGTGCGTTTTTCTTTGTTTTTCTTTCAACTTTTCCGTTTTATCGTGACTTGTTCTTATATTCTTTTTATGTTCAGGGTGCTCTAGAGTACAGCCTGTTGCCAGCCTTGGAAGGTATGTCGCGTACACGTCATGCCACCGCTGAACTTGACGCACTTGCTAACGCGTTCCGGCATGCGGAGGAGGTATTTTAGCCAAATTCTCACTTCCATCTTCACTTCTAGCTATCCAGAACAGAGTTAATTTAGAATCATAGCAAGGCCTCAACTTTGATGTGGTTACAGGTTTGTCCGGGTATATGTAATGAACTAGTCGAAGAGATTCTGACGCGACTGTCGCATCCTCAAGTGAACCAGAGTGATTTAAGAAGGGCGGTGCAAAGACTGACGACGTGAGTGGTAATTCTTATCATTTTTTATTCGAATCATACTAGAAGGAGCGTTGATAGTTCCCCGATATTTCCTCCTTACTTCAACATTGGGTTTTCTCCCTTTCTTATTCATAGAGGAATCTGGTGTGAGTTTCTCTTCATTTTTGAGAAGGAGGGGTAATAGTTTAATCAAAACAAAAAAGGCAGTGAAGTATCGCCCTTTCTATATCTCCTTCGCTGAATGATTAGGTAAACATTTTAGGCGACAGAGCTGAAGATGTTGAACCTACTTCCATATTGCACAATGTTTTACCGCCAAACAATTATGAAGGAGTTGTTCAGGACTATGGCAGTCAGAGATCACTTTGAAATGTAAAATGATAGGCTCTCTATTGCCATAAACGAAATAGTTTTGAGGAAGTCATTATTGCAATCAACATTTCTTGTTTTTTTTTTGTTCGTATTGCTAGCTCATTAAGCCTTGTCGTCTATTTCTGATTGCTAATCAGTGTTGTAGTTACTGTGTTGTAAATCCTGTACATTTCATTGTATTTAGAGAAGCAACGCATTACAACCATTTAATAGGAGATGAGGGCTTTATTGGAAATGAATTCTTCGAAAGGGTTTAGGAAGTACTGAATAATATGATTTGTCAATTCGTACCCCTTAAATTTGCTTGAAATATGAATTTATCGTCATCCCCAGCGGTTGACATTAGACGTTGAGTATTTTTGATTCTCCACCTTCAGTCCGATGTTCATCATTAATTTTTAAATTTAAATTCCTTTTTTTCCTCTCAAAGGTTTTTCCACTTCTTGTTCACTTAAGATTATGTCAATCGATCAATCGATACAACGGGAATTGATTCTTATTATTGCACCAAATTGAGGCAATAAAGATGTTTAAAATAAATTAATAAGCGATTCAAATAATTTCGAACATTGAAGGTTGTTGTGGTTTCACTTTGTATATCTCGACTGCAGTTTCACAACGGCAAGCAACGATAGCACGTGGAATCTGAAAGTCATTTTTTGTTAGAGAAATATGTAGACCACGGGGCCGATCAACAAACATACATCTTTGCTCCAAGAAACGGCCTTGCGTACAAATTCCTTCAGTTCGTCACAGGGTTGTTCGATTTTTGGCAAAAAGAAGGCTTCGCCATACAGCTGCCGATCGCCCAACTCTACTTTGCTGCAACCAGGTTAAGGTGACTTATTGTATTGTACTTCTTTGCTATTTTGTCATAGTGGCTAAGAATTTATATATAATGTGGTCTTGCTGTCAGGCTAGGGTAGAAAGTTTAGAAAGAACTGCCTTATAAGGGCGTGCTGTGCAAAAAGTCATAGACGTAGGGATGGAGCTTGATTCGGGCTCGTACGACTTTTTTTGATTTCCTGATTAGATTGAGATCTCGTTCTGCTCTCACGAGTGGCGATGTACATCTGGGAGGGAAGATGTGAGAGTGTAAAAAGTGTGGCATGCTGGATTCGCAATCAGGACAGTAGGTTTGACAGTGCGAGTTGCATGCGAGATCGTTAGTACATTCATGGACGGTGGATTGCTTTCTTTCCTCACTTNGCCCTAATTCGAGATTTCATGCTCAACAAATTTATGAGGTAACCAGCATGAGAGAGGACTACAGCAAAATTCGCAGATATCTACCTCCCGGTTTATTTTTTGAAATCGCAGTCAGGGACAAAAACAATTCAAGGGTCTCATGCGTAGATTTCTGAAGCTAGCTGCCAGAATCTCCACGGTTCACCTCAATACATCTATAGTTAACGTTAATATCTGTACAGTAACTGCTGATTAATTGAGGCGATCAGTAAGTGCATTTTCCGAACCCTTTTGTAAGTGACGTTCAAAAGTAATCCCAGTTTACTTACGCTGCCTTTCGAAGTAAGCGACCGAATTGATTTAATGATTTGCTGGAATGTTTTTGAAGCAAGGAGAGATTTTTGTCGAGCAAATCGCGATAGATGTTCGTTCGATCAGGATCCCAATTGTAATTGGTTTCAATTTGCACTAGAGCTGATGAACAGGTCCTGGAAATGAAGACGTATTCAACAGCAGAGAATTCCGTCGGTGTTTTTCTAGCCGGATAAGAGGTGCCTAAATATGATGTTGCTGTGCAGTTATACTTACCACTTCACTGTAAGATCGTCTCCTGGACTTGTCGTGGATGTCGTGGGCGCGAGCGTCCTTGTAGAAGTAAGCAGCGAACTGGAAATGATCGCGCTTCCGCCAAGCGTAGCAGGACCGCAGTGGAATGCGCCTTTCGGCTCATTCTCAATTAGAATGATACCTTTTTTTTGATGGCGTACCTTGATGCGTCTGTTGTTAAAATTGTCGTCGTCGTTGATATGGTTGTGGTGGACATCGTAATAGTTGAAGGACGAGTGGTCAGTAAGATAGGTAGTAGTGGTAGTAGTACTGGTAGTGTTGGCTGACTAGATCTGAATGCTCGAGATGCTGGTACTTGCTGGATTGATAACATTTACATTTCTTACTCCCCATTCTGATCAAGATTACCTTTTGTCAGAGAATGGGTCAGATGGCGTTGTCGGTAGAACGATGGGTTCCGATCCCTTAGATTCATCCGTTATAGGCTTACGCATAGGAACCATATCAGCCGGGTGGCATGCCTGCATTTAACAGTTCAGAGATCTATTATGCATTAAGACCAGTAGATCATCTGCGCAGGTGTGCAAGGAACCCGGCATTGACGCGTGCGAATGCGAGGCGTTCGGAAGAATCAGCGTGACGTAATCAACAACCAACAATGCTCAGAGGGCGCGAACCTCTCTGGACACATTCTGCACTACTAGGCAAAAGTTGCCGGAATTTTCATCACTGTTACGATCTCAGGGCCAGTGACTCTCAAGCGATTTTCTCTCGAGGGAAAGTAAAAGATGGATTTTCAGAGTAAGTTAAATAATATTAGGTTGTCCGGAAGTGTTGGCTGACTAGATCTGAATGCTCGAGATGCTGGAACTTGCTGGATTGATAACATTTACATTTCTTACTCCCCATTCTGTGATAAAGATTACCTTTTGTCAGAGAATGGGTCAGATGGCGTTNAGTTCTGTCAAAATTCCTCAAAGTTTGTCTGTATAGGACTCGTAAGAAATTTGAGGATCATCGCGTGCATTTGCAGCGCTTGATGCTTTTCTTCTACCGCAAGGGCAAGAATGTGGCGCGAGCCAAGAGAAAGATTTGGTACGTTCAAATAGACATGCTCTAGGGGAACGCGAGTGATTTGCGAAACTTAAACGGGGTGAAGTCACCCTCGAACGTCGGCAACGCTCAGGAAGGTTATCACCCTTTGAAAACGACCAAATCAAAATATTAATTGTTACGAATCGGTAAATTACCACTCGTGGAATAGGAGGAAGACTGAATGTTGCTAAATCAACCACCCATCATCATTTTCTGAAACTTGGTTTTGTTAAGGCCCTTGATGTTTGGGTACCTCACGAACTGAGCGAGCGCAACGTGATGGACTGCGTCTCCATGCGCGACTGGTTGCTAAGACGAAACAAAAACGAGCCGTTTCTGTAAAGTATGAAAACGAAGTACAAAAAATGGGTCGCGCACAACAACGTGGAGCGGAAACGATCGTGGAACCTTTCCAGCGAGCCGTCACAAACTACTCGAAAAGTCAAAATCCAAGTGAGGAAGATTATGCTGTGGTGCTGGTGGGACTGGAGGGGAATCATTTATCATGAGCTGTTGCCGCATAGTCGAGAGATAACTTTGCAAAAGTACTGTAACCAGCTAAACAATTTATAGGCAGGTGGCCAATCGTAAGAGCATATCTTCCAACTGGATAACTCAAATTCCACGAATTTTTGACCACTCGTCAAAGATTGTTGGAACTCGGGTGGGATGGCTGGTGACAGCCCACATATAGTCCGGACGTAGCACCGTCAAACCACTGCTTCCTTAGGTTTCTGCAAAATCTTTTGAATGGAAAATCGTTTAATCTACCAGAGGACTGCAATATGCACCTGAGAGGGTTCTCCGATTTTAGGTCTAGAACCTTCTATGAAAGTGGAATAATGAAACTGATAGAAAAGTGGCGAGCCGTTACTGAACAGAATGGGCGATAAGATGTTTAATGAACGGACTTGATCTTCTAGAAATTTTCTTTCAAAGATGACTCAAAAGTCGGCGGAGACTTTCTGGACAACCCAATATATTTCTGAATGGGACCCAAGATGATGACCTCAAGTCTGCTTTCGGTACTTGGTGGTATTTGTTTGTATTTCGGAAGGAGTAATAGCTAGCTATCCAAGTAAGGCCCCTCGAACAGTTTCAACCATCCTTTTGCTTCTAGAAATGCGAGAGATGGTCTAAAGGATATGGTCACTCTCTCGAAAAGTGATTTCTCAAAAGTCAATCTTTTTGTAGGGCTTGGTTTCCTAATTTCTCGAAAGGGTTTGCTTGATTGTCCATCGATCGCCTATCTTTCAAACACGGAAAAGCTACACGAAGGGTAGAAATTCAACTTATTGGAGCATATGTGGTACGGTAAGAAGTCCTTATGGGAAAGCTTCCGCATAGAATGATCCCGAGAATGATCATTTGTGACTTTCATCTCCTACAGTTCTCATAACCATTCAAAGTTCCAGAAAAATGTACCAGCTCATCAGGAGCCCTTCCTGGGCTCGGGCAAAAACTCCGAAAACTCGAGAAAACTCGAGCATTGGGCAAGGTAAACAAGTCATCTGAACCTAATCGTACGGTGCAGCCTTAAAGATCTTCCGTGCCGTTAAAGTTTCAAGCCCACAGATTACCGTTCACGATCCTGGCGTGGCCTTCTGCATCTAAATGAAGGGATTCAGTAAATTCCATGGGATGGCTTGGCTAGAAGGAGTCATCCAGTAACTACAGGAAACTGATCTACTGGCGTTTCCTTCCTTATCTTTCTTAACTGAACAGTATGCTCAGGGCAGCTTGTTCCTATATAGCTCAAGAGTAAAGGTCGAAATGTACCTGTACAGATGAGAACATAGCCAAGAATATCGTAATATACAGAGTCATAGCAGCGTTGTAGACCTATCCGTAGATGATATGCCGGGCATCAGAATAGAACTGCTATGCTTCATTTGATTTATGGCTCAGTGGAAAAATGAATTTCTAAAGGGTCACGGTCATAGCGTCACTCAATGAGGCCCGACATCTCGAAGGCCGTGCCGAGGAAGCGCACCTCTCAAATCGGATTGAATTCACTATAGATGCAAGACGTTTGCGTGACTCAAGTAGACCGCAGAACTGATTATTCACAGGAACTAGGACTGTACAAGTGATCGTCCAACAGTTTGCCTAGGCTATTGACATGACCCCGATTTCACTTAGTGAAAGCCCGACATTCTTAACCAGAAGTTGTTGAGTGAGTGAAAGTCCTTCAAATCATATCGGAGAATTGGGATTGCAGACTAATAACGATAGCGTCTATGTGTAGCCATCAAATCTGAATGAGTGAACCATGTCAAAGAGGGTAACCATCAGTCTGTGTTGGGTTGTACCCCACGACTGCCACGCATCGGTTTATTGGGATTCGATTCTTCTCCAGAACCCATTTTTCGGCAAAATGAATAAAAATTCTTGTATGTGTAACATCACTGATAAGGCAAGCTTCGTATTGGAGAAGTAGGCTTTGATCACAATTTTATTTGGTTGGTCAGAGAACTCCTTTGGTCGGTTGCCAACCTGAACCTATCTTCCGTATTAGTAGCACCTGAACTATGTGGCACCATACTCGCTAACATTGAGTCAGTTACAGGTGGAAGTCCCTCGAGAGAGAGAGAGAAAGAGAGCGGTGGAAATCCGCCTCCATGACCACGCATAAAGCGGATCATGATACACTGCACTAATATGAAGATATACAACAATTTTATTTAAAAAAAGCAGCATCGCAGTAACATTTTCAGTGTTCGTGACAATCAATTGAGCAAGTACATGAATGCGTTAAACAATAGTCGAATGAGCAACCATGGGAAAGGATGAATGCAGTTGTTCGTTGTTATAATCGGGTTCATATGCCAAAGCTACAGTCCAGTTGGAAACCCGAATAAGGATTTTTGCGATATTTGTGATATTGCACCTAAAAAAGAAATTGTTAGGTAAGAGTGGAACTCCGTCAGAAGTCTTCAGTCTGTCACATCAGATCATAGCTGCTGGTAAAAATCACGATATCAATCCTAAGGGGGGGGGGGTGATATTTG